CTCCCCTTACTTCATGTCAGATGGATACTTCACTCTCAGCTCTAGCCCTCTGTGGCTATGTCCTTGTCCTTGGGCTCAGGGGTCCCCAGGGCTCACAATTCCTTCCTCTTCTCTCTCTCATCTCCTGGTGGATGTGAGTCTATGGAACATGGTCGAACTCAGCCCGTATCTTCATTGCTGCTTTTCACCCTCTTCTACTCAACAGAAGGCCAATGTGATTGCCAGCAAGCTTAGATGTCTGTTCATGTGTTCCCTTTGAGTTTCATTCTTGTAGGCGGGTTTGTCCTGAGGGGACTTGATTGTTTGCCTCAAATAATAACATTTTGATAAATGGAGAAAAGATTGAAATTCTCAAAGACTTTATTTTGCTTGGATCCACAATCAACACTCATAGAAGCAGCAGTCAAGAAATCAAATGCTAGAGGAGAAAGATGGCAGACGAGGCAGAAAGGCTGCGCAGACTCTCTGCTACAAGGATAAGGAATATTGGATGAGACAGATACAAAGGATGGCTTTGGAACTCTGAGCTCTAGAGGAAGGAATAGAAAAGTGGACTGAGTGCTGACTGGGAGAGAGCGTTGAATAAACATGGCAAGAGAGGAGGTGACCGATGAGCAGCGGCAGCCAACAGGACCTGCCTCAGTCATCTTGAGAGTTTGTGAACAGCTCTAGGGACAGAGAACATATTCACATTGCGGAAACCTGCCTATGGCTCTCAGAGATAAAGGAGCAAATTTTAGTCTATTTTTTTCCCAACCAGTGTCCAACTCCAGGGAATCTCCTGCTTTCCTGACAATAGGAGCCCCTCAAAGGGGCTGTGAATCCCAGAAAGGAGCTACACACAATAAACCCTTTAGGACATACTCTGATACAAATCTGTATCCTCGACTCTGAATAGCCCTGGATTGGCTCTCACTAAGAGAGGGGGTTGAGTGGACATATGGGGTCGAGGAAAAAATGGAGGGGAAAAAGAAAGGAGGTGGGATCTGTGTGCGTCTGCCTGATGTAGGGTGGTTACTTTGAACTTTCTCAGGCAGCTGTGAAAGCAAGAGGCCAGTCGATGGTGCAATGCACTGCTTACTGGCAGAGAGAAAGACACTGACTATCATTTTTCGCTGTGTGGACTGTTTGTTTGGTTTCCTTTTTGCATCACATGGCAGGAGACAGAAACTGCAGTCATATAGCCAAGCCACAGCCATACCCTCTACAGCCCCACCAGCCAATTCTAGCTGCTATACACCAACTAGCAGCAACTTCAACCAATATCAGCTAAGTCCATTCTGAATTGAACTGTATGAACAGTGAACAGAGATGTTCATCTCTTGATCACACCCATCAAGAGGCAACTGGTGAGTGCCTAAGAATATACCAACATACATTCATCAACTTAATACAAATACAACAATATCAAAATGTCTAGAGAACAGCAGAAAATTTCTGTTCACATGAAAAAACAAAACAGAGTAGCTCAAATTAATGCCTAAGAGGCAGAGCTAGAAAATGCTTTTTGAGGAAGAAGAGGCCTTGGAACTACCTGAAAAAGAATTTAGGATAATGATATTCAGGTTGTTTCACAAAAACAAGGAAGAACTCATAAAAGCACTACAAGAACAATCAAACAAAATAGATACAGCATTATAGACAATACAAAACCTGCAAACAGAAATCCAGATTAACGCTAAGATATTAGAAATAGATAATACACTGAAAGGGTAAAGGAGTAGAATTGAATCAATGGAAGTCTGAGTTAGTTCACTGGATAATATCTTACTAGTATCCAAAAAGTCTCTGGATACTAGTAAGATAGAAGAACAATTATAAAAAAGAATTTAAAAATATGAAGAAAACCTAAGATTCACGTGGGACAACACAAAGAGGAATAACCTATGGGTGACTGAAATTCAAGAATAGGAAGAGACAAAGAAATCCATAGTAAAGAGAGTCCAGAAGTGGATGGAAGAAAATTTGCTATACATTATAAAATATGAGAAGATACATATCCAAGAAGATACATATCCAAGAAGCTGAATGAACCCCAAACAGAATAGACAACAAAAGAAAATCACCAAGACACATCATAATCAAATTCTCGTAAATCAAAGACAAGAAAAGAATCATGAAAGCACCATGAAGTTCTGACTTCTCAGCAGAAACAATGTAGGTGAAAAGGCAATGAGAATCAGAG